TGCGTCTGTCTGGCGATGATGCAGCTTCAAATGCCAGTCAAGCTGGCGTCACCATTGTTTTGAGTCCCCGGGCTGAAGCTGCCCTGATCGACTGGATCCCAGTCAACAGTCAGATGCGCGTCGTTAGACCAGCTGGTTCGTTCCATGCTACGAAGTAGCGTGGGAACAAACGGTACCTGTTTGTTATTGCAGCCTACGCCACCACAAACGGCAGCACTGATTCGGTGAAAGTTGATTTCTATCAGCAACTTCAAGATCATTGTTACAAAAGAAGCACGGATACTGTGGTGTTGGCTGGCGGTCTAAACGCCCAAATCGGAATATTGTCCTCTGATGAGCTTCATATGGGCGTCCAACATGGTGTAGGCTCCCGTAATGATAGCGGTGAGCGATTGCTACAGCTGTGTGAAAATGCTCATCTCTTTCTCGTGAGTACTAACTTTCGACACAGCACCCGCAGAAGCGTAACTTGGCGCCCACAAGCTTCGCATCAACCATGGAGGTAAATCGATGATATCGCGATCAGTTAGCACTGAAGGCTGTGTCTAAAACTGTCGATCGATTTGGAGCACGAGCGTGGACTCTGACCAAGCACTAGTTTGCGTCGATCTCCAGGTGCGTTTCGGTGGCCGTCCGCAACGTCGATGTCAACAAATTGACACCAACCAGCTGGCGAAGCCATGTGTTCCGAATGTGTATCAAAGTGCGCTGACATCTGGGCTGAGTAAGCGACCACTGAACACCGTCGATGATCACTGGTCGCATATTCGTCAAACGTTACTATCAGCAGGCATGTCTTCATGTGGCAAATCCAATTGCCAAACTGGACATTGGGTCTCTACAGTGTTTCTGGAACTTATGGACGCTCGCCGACGTATTCCGGTTGGAGGCGAATACAATGAGGCTCGCAAAAAAGTTTAGAGCAACACTGCATGCTAGCTTGAAGAAAGACCGCGAAGCCTGGTAGTCTCATCGTGCCTCGGAGATGGAAACAGCCGCTGCCGTTGGTAATCAGCGATACGGAAAACGGGCAGCATGAGACCTGGTGTTAGCGAGACCATACGCGACGAGAGTGGGCAGCCGATCAACAGCCTGTCAAAACGCTTGGAGTGTTGCGCCGAACACTCTGAAAGGTAATGTAACCAACCTGAATTATCGCTTTCTTTCTAGGGCATTGAAAGTCGTTCGCCCTAGGCCGTCTCCTTGGATCCGCCCTCATGCGCAAAAGTCGAACGTGAGATCAGGCTGTTGAAATTGCATAAGGCCGCAGGGCCAGATAGAATGCTCCCAACCCTCTTCAAATTCGGGGGACCTGTTCTAGTGGATGTTACACGGGTTGCTAGTGAAACTTTGGGAGCAGGAGACTGTCCCGACAGACTGGAGCCGCTCCGTCATAGTCCCAATTTTCAAGGGAGGTTCGCGTTCGGAATGCGGCAATCAGAGAGGGATCAACCTGATCTCAACTGAAAATAAATTGCTTGTGTCTGTCATTCTCCACAGACTGACTGGCACTCATGAAAGCCAGATTCCTGAAGAGCAAGCCGCGTTTCGTCGAGGTCGGGGCTGCATCGATCACCTCTTCACCTTGCGTCAATTGTTGAAGCACCGCCATGTTTATTGGCGACCCACCGTGGTCGTTTCTCGATTTCAAAGGTGCCTTCGACTCAGTCGATCGATGTGCCCTTTGGGACTGTCTGCTGAGGACGTAAACATTATCAAAGCGCTGTACGCGCATAGTTCGGGCTTATGGCAAAGTGTTGCCACCCTTCAGTATCACCAGCGGTGTGAGACAAGGTTGCCAGCTAAGACCTATCCTATTTAACTTCGGAGTTGACGAAGTCATGGAAACAGCAATCGCTAGACACGACCTAGAAGGTGTGGAGCTACGTCCTGGTGAGTTACTTCTTGACTTGGAGTACGCAAGCGATATTGCCCTAATCCGTGACAGCTCCCAAACATGCCAAGCAGCACTGGACCGATTAGCACTGGCTGTCTATCGTTTTGGGCTATGCTTTGCTCCATCGAAGTCCATAATACTTCTTCAAGATTAGCAGGGACCCATCCCTGCGCTAACGCTTTGTGGTGACCAGCTAGAAGTCGTTCAGGAATTCTAGTACCTGGGAAGCTGTATTAGCACCCGTGAGATCGAAGATGAGATCCGAACCGTATAGCAAAAGCTAGAGGTGCTTTTGCCAATCTCCGACACCTGTGGCGCAGACGCTACATTATTCTCGGCCTGAAGGGCAGAGTTTATAACGCAGTCGTCCGTTCAACTCTCCTATATGGTTGTGGAACCTGGCCCATCAGGTCGACAGACATAAAGAGGCTCGTCACATTCGATCATTGCTGTCTTCGTAGCTTAGCTCATGTCTAGTGGGAGCACCGCGTGAGCAATGAGCGTGTACGGCGTCGCGTATTTGGTGCAGGAAGTGCGAGTGAACCGCTCAGCACCATTATATCACGCACCAGGCTCCGATGGCTGGGCCACTCATTGCGCATGCCAGCACATCGACTCCCGCGATGTGTTTTGTTTGCGCGCCGGGTGTGTGGTTGGGAGAGGAGGGAGGCCAAGCGATGACTTGAACGAGAGAAATGAAAACCCTCACTTCGAAGCTGGCGTCGGTTGATGCATCCCGACTGCCTGGCTGGGGTCCTAAGGACAATGAACACGTTTGATTGGACACACTTGCTGATACGGCGAAGTGCCGGTCCTAATGGCCTTTGCGTTGTGAGTTTCTTTGTCAACCCCGTCCCTTTAGCTTCCCCTCCAATCGCGATCTCATGCAAAAAGCATAATATAATATGTAACATAATGGTATTTGTAGTGTAATTTGCAGTGTAATATTTTAGTCTCTTATCTTTGTGTATTGCGGCACATTAGCTGAGGTGTGTTTCTCACCCTCAGTTAAAGTGTACTGATGATGATGAATTAAAGCACTGAACAATTGAAAATCGGTTGGGATGGGGGGTTAGAAAAATTTCTGTAGTACGTCGGCACATCGTACCGAAGTTTCGCTGCCACACGAACACTCACAGTCGCGCCTGAGCTGGGTATACCGCGAGGTCATCCGGCCTATGCAGATTCGAACCGGTGATGTCCGAATAACAAGGCAGGTATGTAATCATTTCGGTACGGATTTACATTAAGAAGCAAGCGAACGAAGCAGATGATTGGCTGCTTAGGCATCTTCACCTATACACTGGTTGCTTCGTATTTGTCAGCGCTGGACTGAGTTTATTTTATTGATTCAAACGAAGAGTCTCATGGATACAGTAACGTCGTTAGTTATGGAAGTGACCTAGCTATTTACATTGAAACTTCGACAACCTAATCACGCCGTCACTTTTGATGAGTCTGCATTGTCGGATAAACCGTTTGTCCCTGAAGGACGGAGTTCTGCGAAAACCGGTCGACATAAGTGTTAAAAATTTATTACGTGATGCAACAGCCGAAGGCTCAAAGAAAGGCGGGAACAGAATCTTGTCATCACACACGCCCGTGTGAGGCAGATTTCACGGTACTTGAAAAGCATTGGCGGAGAACCAAACCAGATGGACATGTAAAAATGGATCACGCGATGCTCCAATCGCGAAAACACGACAGGGCAAAACTAATTTTAGAACGCTGGGCAGTAAGATATAGGAAGGAAGCGCGACTGAATCGTGAAAATGTTTGAGAAATCGCCTCAGTTATTGCGGCTGTCTAATGAACACTTGTTTCTCCTAAAGTGATTAGTAAACGGGAGAGAATCCCATCACAAACAAGCAAATTAAGAAAGTTTTGAGAATTGGAGCAAGAAGTGCGTAACATGAAGCTGATTTGTGTGAAGAAAGTAAATAGTATACAGTATCGAGATTAGGAACCTCCGATGGAAGCTGGGGTAAAAGCGGCGGCAAGTGGAAACGAGTCGAATTCATTAGGTCATTTGGCGGGAAACATGGCGAAGTGGAAACTAAGTGGAAGCCGACTGATTTTATCGAAATGTGTACGATATCCTTCGGGAGAAAACCTTGAAATACGTCAGTATAACGCTGGTGCCTTGTAATGATTCCCCACAGCCTTACAACAGTAGGTGGTTAAACCTAAGCTGGGCTATTACAAGGATGTTCAGAAACACACATGCAGGAATGGGGACTCTAACCAGGAGTGCAGATATTGCGAGCAAACTGCATAAGCCAACATGCTGCAGGCAAAAGTCTTAGAACCACTATGCTCCCCACTACGCTTGTTCACAAAGAAAGCTGGCACTAAGTTGGTGATTGGGGTAACAAACCTTGTCCGTTGAGCGAAGATACCGTTGAATGAAATTAGCTGAACCACAAAGCGAACAAGTAAGCCACTTAAAAGGACTAAAGGATGATGATAGATACGCAGGAAAACATACTGCTTTGTAGTGTACTCATAGATTACGAGAAATGACCCAAGGGAAAGCAGTGCTGGCTCCATAAAATAAATATACGTAAAGATGTGGACGATATGGAATTTACTTTACACGTTTTTGAGCAAAAGTACAACTACACGCCATCTAGAAGAGAGAACGCCTAAGTTAAAGTCATCGGTCCCCTATCGAGTCCGGATATTGTCGCCAAGTTCACTTCGGGATCAACTGAAAATAAGGACCACTTTCTATACATTCGAGTCAGGACCACCACATCAGTGGCACAAATTTTGAATGCAAACAATCGCATTGTTGCATGGCACTCGAAAGACGAGTGACTTTACTGGGCTTAAATTGACCACATCGCCATCTGATGTAGATGGTGCACACCAGTGGATCCGTGGAGATCGTCTCAATTTGAACCATACTCTCGTGTATGCGAGTACAGCGTTTACTCTTACATCTTAGTTTAAGTGAGCAAATTCGAAAGCACTTGCTCATCAGTTGGAGTCGCAATCTGAGAAGCTGCGGTGCCAACTGCGTCAGATGTCGCGGACGAAATGGATGGATGAACAGATTGAAGACTGGAAACTTATCCAATGAGCAATGCAAAAAGCTCACCTTGGGGTTTCCGAACTGGGGATGGACGACTGGAGAAGGAGGTCAGCAGTACGCCGGTACACTGTACCGACAGCTCGTCGTCACGCAACCACCACTGGTCTCCCGGTCCCCCTACACAAGCTCGAACCGGTGACGTCCGCGTTGCAAAGCAATCGCCTTGTCCTTTAGACACCGAGCTTGAGAGAACCTTGATATGACTGAAGTACGCAAGATGATTCGGTTGAGAGGTTAGCTTAAAAGTGCGCGTGGAATTCTGAAGCGCCTTCCGATTGCGAGTCCCAGAGTTGACTGTGAAAATCAGTTGAGGGCGATTGTCAACCGGGTGTGAGAGACTAGGGCTATTAGGAAAACCAGGGTACAGTTCCATCTTGCTCGACAAGCTGGGCGAAAAGAAACAACAACCAAGGAAGATGGATTACTGAGTTAGTTCAATTCCCCTCGGTTTCAACACTGGACTGAATAATGTGAAGGGTACTTCTGTTCCTTAACGCATCCGAATCGTTAAGTAGGTTAGCTTAACCTACTTGGAAATTTGACGTAACAACTCTCACAAGTGATTAATCACAACAGGCTTGGGTACTCTACTAGAAAGTAGCTGGTGCAAGGTGGAATGCTTACTGAGTGATTGTCGCAGCCCATCATGACCGTCTTTAAAAGAATTCAAGAAGCATTTACCGAAAAGCATTGTGGTAATGGTCTAATCTCCAGTAGTAATAAAGTACAGCGTCACCCGCCGGCGGCCCAGTAATCCCCATTAAAGTCGTATTAATGAAATTCAAGTTGGCTCTAGTCCCAACTGACTTCGTCAGATGCATGTACACTAGTCTTTCTTGGCTTTGATCAAGGTAGTTGCTAACACACGAACTGACTGAGAGACATGGCCGGACTAGTGCATGGCGTCTTCCTGGATGGGGGCCTCGGGATGTTCTACACCAATGGTTGGAGACCGCATTAGACTGGTGTAGTCAGTGGATTTCCTGTATTCGGTTTCTTGCATTTGGTCGTTAATTAACGTTGAATCCTGACTAGTTTAACGCACTTGCTTCTTGCTACCATTTCCTTTACACTATATTTACCTTCGACCCCATTATCGTGCCGTTGTTATTTATTTTTATTCTTGCGATGCGAGCCGCAGCCACACTTCGGTGACCGGATCATAGTTGTTCAACAGAATCGCTGAACTAATGTTTGAACAGCGTCCCTGAGAAAGTACTTCTAGAACAAAATTTATATACACAAATTCGTGGGCTGCGTAAGGGTCTGCGCGAAACCGACGAGCTCACTACGGTAAGTGGGATATGTCATGGCCGTCCCACCTATCTAGTTCCCTTTAAATTCGTAATCGAAATGATCGTGAATGATTCTCTCCTGCCTCCTACCAGTCCTACTGGGATAGAGGTTTTACTTGGGGACCGATCATAATCATTATTATGCACATTAGCTAGAGGTGGGAAAACCTCAGCCATTATGCTGCAACACACAAGAAAAAAATAGTAAATAGAAGCAAAACGTGCGCGCCAGCGGAGCCATCAGTAACGAGTGGACACAGCCCCGGAGAACTAGCTGCCGGCTATTGCGCCGCAGAAGTTATATTTCAGTTCAGGAAGGAGAGGCTAAGAGGGAGAGACAAAGAAACTCACAACACAAGCGCCACTGACGGCGGCTCCTAGCCAAGTCGACAAGTGTATCCAGCCAAAGGTGTTAATCGTCTTTCGGGCCACAAACAGGGGTCCGAGAAGCTCCAACCGAGGTCAACTTCGAACTAAGGGCATTCATTCCTTTTGACCATGTCGTCGGTTGATCTCCCTTACTCTTCCCCCATCCACACCCCCGTCGCGCAAACAACGCATATCACGGGAGTCGGTGTGCTGGCATACGCAACATATGTCTTTGGTATCGGAGTCCAGTGCGTGATATAATGGTGCTAAGCGATTCATTTGCTCTTCCTTTGCCATAAACAAGGCGTCGAACACGGTCATTGCTCACCAGGTGTTCCCAACAGGTATGAGTCAAACTGCGAAGGCACCGATGGCCGAAAGTTACTAGCCTCTTTACGCCTGCCAATCAAATGGGCCAGGTTTTACAGCTGTTAAGGCGAGTTGAACGGACGGTTGCATTGCACACTCTACCCTTCAGGGGAAGAGTGATGTCGCGCCGGCGCCATTGGTGACGAAAGTTAGCAAAAGAGCCTCGTGCTTTACATATACGTTTTGTGACCTCGTCTTCAATTCCAGCGGCACCTAGTTAGTTGAATTTTTGAACGACTTCCCGTGGGTCCCCATCAAGGGTCAGCGCAGGAGGCGGTCTCTTCCAATCTAGGAGGAAAGATTTGCACTTTGAGAGTGCAAAGCAAAGTCCGAAACGACTGACGACCAGTGCTAATCTGCCCAGTGCTCATTGGCACGTGTGTGAGCTGTTACAGACAGGGTAATGTTGTCAGGATACTCCAAATTAAGCAGTCATACCCATGGGAGCAGCTCCACATCTAAATCATGTTCAGTGAGCGCGATTTCGATGACTTCGTCAATAGCGGAGTTGAAGAGGAAATGGGACAGCTGACATCCCTGTCTTACATCACTGCAGATACTGAAGTGCAGCGATGGTTTGCCCCCACTCTGGCCCTAGCTACGCGCGCAAAACACTCGGGCACGCAATTCCTGAGTAGACAGTCCCATAGACCATATCGAGTCACCGAATGGAGGAACACGACAAAGATGGGCGGCCTATATATGTGACGGTGCTCCAACACTTGACGCAAAGTGATGTGATCGACGCAGCCCCGACCTCGAAGAAACCCGGCCTACTCCTCACGAGTGCTAGTCAATCTGTGAAGGATGACGGAGGCAAACAATTTAGATTCCTTGAAGATCAGACTGATTTCTCTATGGTTGTCGCATTCCGAACGTGAGCCTCCCATAAAATAGTGACAATAACGCAGCGGCTCCAGTCGGTTGGAACAGTTTCTTGCTCTTACAGTTTCTCTAATAACCCGTGCAAGTCATCCTCAAGAGCAGGTCCCCCGAAGTTGAAGAAAAATGGAGGAAAACCATCCGGCCGCGCTGCCCTATCCAACTTCAGAAGTCCGATCTCACGTTCGACTTCTGAATGAATAGGCGGATTCAAAGGGACAGCGCAGAAAAGCAGGGCGATCACTGGCCGGCGAGAAATCTGACAAATTCTGCATATTAAACTGCCTTTCAAAGTGTTCAGCCCCACGCTCCAAGCGTTTCGACAAGTTGTGGATTGGCCATACACGCTCGTCACATATAGCTTCAACAACATCAGGTCGCCTGCTGCCCGTTTCTCGTATTAGACGGAATAACTTCCGATGGTTACCAAGGTTAGCGGCCACTTTCACATCCAACGCAAGATGCGACCATCAGGATTCTCAGTCTCTTCAGGCTAACACGCAGTTTTGCCCAGCGGTATTTGCGAATCTCAATGCGTTCGCTTCCAGCCCGAATGTGCAGGCCAGCATCGGTAAGTTCCAGAGACTACGAAGAGACCCAATGTTCAGGTTGGCGATCTGACTGGCCACATGAGGATTTGCCTCTCGCTAATAACGCCTGGTGAACATGCGATGACCGACCTTCAGCTGTATTCAGTGAGTGCCTACAACCCGAATGCCACTGTACTTCGGTACGCAATCAGAACAATTGGTTTCAACAGTGGGTATCCGCCAAAACTCCCCCCCCCCTCAGATCAGCACATGCAAGTGTATGGTCGGTGTCCACACATGTGACCCAAATCGAGCGACAGTTCTAGACACAACCTTTCCAACGAAAACTGATCGCGATATGATCGATTTGTGCCTATCGCTGGTGGGTCCCGGCGGGTGCCGTGTCGGAAGTTGGTGCTCGCGAGAAATAGACGAGCAAGTTCACACGAATGAAAGAATCGCTCACCGTTATCAGTACTGGAGCCTGTACCGTGCTGGAGACCAGATTGTAGCCCATCAGTGGACAATTTTCCAACTTGAGCGTTCATACCCCATCCAGCACTACAGTATCGGTGCTACTTCTGTGATGAAGGCGCTCATTCAGTTGGTGATAAAAGTCGTCTTTCAACGAGCCGGCTTGAGTTTGCTGGGGCGTAGGTAGCGATGACAAACATGTACCTATTAGCCACGCGCGACTTCGAAACTTTGAACGAGATAGTCATTCAGACGGCACACATCCGTCTACTGAACGGGAACCAATCAACCAGAGCAGCCAGAGGACTCAGAACAGTACCCACACCGGCTTGGCGGCCATTAGAAACTGTATCCTATACGGATAGACGGAGCGAAAAAGCACGGTTACTGTCACCTGAAGTGGATGGCAGAGTGAGCATGAAGATTCAGTCTTGAAGGCGGGTATCTGATAAGCGATAGATACCGAATGAGAGGGACCCTAAAGTTCGAGCAAATGCTGCCCGTTGACCGAGTTGTACGTTGACGCATGCCAATCTGAGGGAGGATCGATGGCCTCAAATAGAAGCCGATATACTGGGCTTGACAGCTTGCTTCGACATGGGGTTGTCGACAGAGCAGAAGTGACGCTCTGCGTTAGCGCGTGAGTTTGAACCAGATGATAAACCTTCTCCAAAGCAAGGTATGGAAGGGCCAAGAATAGAGGGCTTGAAAACGGGGGATACAAGTGAAGTTGTGAAGATAAAATAAGCTTGAAAAAGCGCAAGAGGGGGAAACAGAAGATGAAAAGTCCCGAGCAGTAGCCCCCAGCTATTTTCCCGATTGATTGCATCTATAGTGCAATTGAGTTGCTCCCTAACGCTTTGATTTTCATCTTTAACCGATTGAACATGCTCATCAGTGTAATTGAATTGCATCCGGTATCATTTTTACGCACTAACCGCGCGCAGTGACCTTGGTATTGGGCTAGCTCAGAGCAGCCGATGACGGTAAACTTAATCACCCTTGCATGAATGTATGAGTTGGTGGTATGTAGTGTTGACGCGTGGGCGGCCTATTCCCTGCATTTAGCAACGGTGCCTAATCTGAATCTAATTCTACGCAGCTTAGGGGCACAAAGTTGTCCAAACACGTGATACGAGTGGGTATAAGTGGACTACCATGTACGTAAAGGCATGCCTTGCGAACGGCACCAGTGGGGGAGGGCTGCGAACACGGAAATGCGACACCCCATTAGCGAGGTTATGGCTAGTTTTGCGCTGGCGTAGCCCATGTTTTTGGACGACCTACCAACGCTAGGGCATGCGACGGTACTGTGTCCGAATAGCGAGGCAGTCAGAGGTGCATGGCTGCGAATGACCAGGGACGGTGTGACGGG